ATATTATTCTTTTTTCCTTTCTATTTTACTCGAAGGGTAGCATACTATATGCACTCTTTTACACTGTGCTTTCTCATTTAACAATTTATCCTGGAGATCTTGCATAGTTTCCATGTAAAATAGTTGTGGGCCAGGAAAGCCAGAAGCCCAACAAAAGAGAGCAGCTTATCAGCAGTGGTTATCAGGAGTCAGGCAGCAGCTAGACTCACACCAGTTGTCAGACGAGCAGCCTAGTCTCCATAGTGGCATGCATTCTATTCCTCAGAAACTCCATCTCAGCCCCAGAAAGGGCCCTACCTACAGAACCAACTGACTCAGTGGTTTCAACCTATTTAATTTACACATTACAAAGCAGGGGAGACCAGAAAGGACTAGTCCAAAGTTAGACAGTGGCCAGGGACAAAATTGGAGGTTGCTTGTCTTCTGCATTCTGTCCCCAAATTCTCTCCACTGTACCACTTGTGTCACAAACTTTTTGGGACTTGTCATTATCTTCAGAATACATTTTAAATTCCTGTGTCTTCCCATTTTAGAAGGAAGCAGGATATGATGTGGTGTGGTGGGAAGAGTGAGAGCACTTCTAGTCACAGAATCGGGAAATCAGGGTTCTAGTCCTGAGCCCTCTGTGGGCCCCAGTTTCCTCATCTGTTAAATAAGAGGCTTGAACCAGACGCTCTCTAAGTCCTCCATAGTGTCTGACGTCTGGTCCTTGTAGCTGTGCCTATGCTCATGCAATTAGTCCCACCTGGAATGTATGTACCTTTTGTTTCTCTTCCTCCACATTTTTCAGTGCCCACCTTAACTTTTCCTAATGTTTACCTACTCAGAAAATGCTCCTGTGAACAAGCTAAGCACTTCTACTTCAGCACTTAGAACCTGCTCTTCTCTCAACCTAGATGACTTCTTCAAGAGAGCCCCACAAACTGGTTTCTTAGTCCATTCAGTTCAGAATCTGCTCAAATGAAACACATAAAGATGCTTTCCCTAACCATCTTATCAAAGTAGTACTTCCCCAAGTGCTCTTCATTTTCTTTTCATAGTTCTCATTATATAGTTTATGTTTAGTCCACCTCACCCCACTGGAATGCAAGTTCCTTTAGAGCAGGGACATGGCTTTTTGTATTTTTTCACTTAGAATAGCACCTAAAACGTAATAAGCACTCAGTAAATATTTGTTGAATCAAAGAAATTATTGTAAACAATTACACAACAACAAGGCCAAGCTGCAGACTCCACTTCTGATATTACTCTGAGGCATTTCTCACATTGAATAGCTTGTTGTGTAAGAACGCCCTGTATGGACATCCCAAACAGGGGGAAGAAATAAGTCAGGGAGGCAGCAAATAACTTTGGGAGATAGATGTAGTCAGGCGAACAGCAAGGAATCTATCTGGGGTCTGATGGACTGGTTCTAGTTCCAACCTCTGCTACTATGCAACATTAAGCATGTCCTTAACCTCTATAAATCAAGTTAACAACCTGCCTCACAGGTATACAATCAGGATCAGGGGAAATGATTTATGTGGAAACATCTTGTCAGAGATAAGGCATCATACCTTACAGGTAAAGTATGACTGAAGGCTACAAGTAGGCTCAAATAACTAATATAGAAACTAAAGCTTTATTTAAAGATAAACTGTCACACACACAAGTGTCCATGCTTTAAAAAGTACATGCACGTATCCTACTATGATGATGGACAGTGACTGTAATGGGGTATGTAGTAGGGACTTGATAATAGGACGGAATGTAGTAACCACAATGTTGCTCATGTGAAACCTGAGCATAAGACTATATCAATGATACCTTAAAAATAAATAAAATAAAAAGTACATGCACATATATGAGTGTTTGTCCACTTACACATACACATACATATTTTGGAGGAACTGCACAAGTCTAAAAGACACACACTTACTAGAAAACCCTTACCTGAAGGGTAAGGTAATCCTGCCACGTATCCCACTCTGTAATGTGAACCCTTTTTGCCAGGACTTCAGACAAACAGTCCACTGATTACTATGAAACTAATCATCCAGTAGAAGAAATATACTGCAACCTCTTGTAGAAATACTATGAGGTCTCTCGGACACATTAAGTCATCTATGGCTTCCACCCATCATTTCTGCAAGGGTTAATAAAAACAAACCACTCAACCATCCCTCTAAGTTATACCTCTAATAATAGCCCCTAGAACAGATTAGCATTATTTGTTGCATTTGGTGGATAAGAAAACCAAGCCCCATCTCCTCCAAAAGGCCAGTCTTGATAGTCAATGCACACCGATTTCTTCCTAACCTGAATATTTACAATACTGACTGACAGGCATGCACCTCAGTGTGAGATCTTATACCATCTCTGTGCATACCAAATGCCTTCCTTGTATGGCAAGCTCTACGTCATATTTCTCACATATTCCCAAGAGAACTTAGCAGAGAGCTTTCTTACCACAGGGAAGATGCTCAGAAATACTAATCTGAATTGAACTTAAAATGAAATTGCAGTGACTTGTCTCATATGCACACAAGGAATTTAGGACATAGTCAAACTTAGAATTCTACTTCCTAAGTTGCAAATTTAATTCATAACCTACCAAAACAACACTGATTATTCATATCACTTGTATTTTAATTCTATATGTTGGCAAAGTTCTATGAGGCCTTCCATCCCCAACAAGGAGACAGAATTGACCCAATTTCGTTTTACACACCATGGTACCCTGAAAACACTTCTCCTACATAACCTATAAGAGTTTATTGCTTTGGTACTGATAGGTCTGCTCCTCAAGATGACTCTAGGCATCAAAGGCAAGAATATCACCTAATTCAGCTTTTTTTTCTTATCACCAGAGACACAAAATAGCACTTAATAATTATTTGAGAATGCTAAAGGAGAATGTTTTAAGGCGAGACTATTAAAAAAAGAGCTTAAGACTATAGACAGCCAGCCAGTACATCCATCTATACCCCCAATAAATGTTTCATAATAATCATATTAAGCAATTAGTGATGAGGAATAAACAATTATATGAAACCTAAAAACATTAATAGAGTTTGATTACCATTTTGTAAATTCAGCTCCCATAATTAATCATCTCAACTTGAAAGTATTTAAATGAACTTTGTCATTCTTAAAAAACATTCTTCTTCCAAAATAAACCTTTCTTGACCTTTGCTCATCACTTTCAGTGGAAAAAAGAAAAGGATTATTCAAATTCCACTCTGCTTATGAAAGTAAAAAACAAGATGAAAATCTAAACCTCATAAAGCAAAGTTAATTTTTCCTATGAATAAGTATTCTTAACTATTTTGAAGCATTTCAAATTGAGTATTTCTGAACTTTGAAATATGCATGAATTATGCTACAACCTGGCAGAAAACTTTTGGTTAAATTCTCATCACCCTGGAATGAAGAAGTATCTCCTTTGGCCATTTTTTTTCAAGTAGCTACAAGCTACTAGTCAGTTTCAAGTTAATGAAAATTCCATCTTTGCCAAGTCTATAGAATACCTAACCACATTATCTTCCAACTTTCTTATGTACAGATTGGCCTCAAGATTTGGAACTATCTGTGCTGCTAAGAGGGCCTGGATTACTTTATATTGCATTCTTGCTTCAAAGCTAAAGAGTGAGGGGTGCTTCTGCTAGACTCTGCGAGAGGTAGGCTGAACACTATGGAACGACCAGGGCCTTCAGAGACAAGCTTGGGTTTAAATCCTGACTCTACTGCTCACCAACAATATGACACTGGGCAAATTGTTTAGTCTCTCTGAATCTCTATTAGCACATTGGTAAAATTAGGGAAAATTCAGTCTTTCTGGAACTGTTATAGGAACTACATTACATTACATAAAGTAACTAACACATTATAGGGACTCAATAAATGTTACTTTCTTTTCCCTTTTTTTTTTTTAAACTACAAATACTTATTTGGTACTCTTGATGTCAGAGCAATAGCTGTTTCCTACTTTGGAGTCGTTTTTAGGCCTGCTGGCAGCCAGATCACAGGTCACTAAAACATTTATACATGCTTAGGATCATCTATGCCAGTTTTTAAAAAGAAGGGGTTCTTGATGGAAAAAAAAAAACCCCAGCTTTATAAGCAGTCATTTCCTATCTTTGATTTAAAAACAATTTTTTAACAGTCTAACTACTTTCAAAAACCTTTTCTTTTTTTCGGTTCCCACTATATGTGGGAATTGTCACTGTCATTAAAGTAAATAACCAACACATTTATTCTGAAGAAATTACTACTTAGGGGAATAATTACAAGGAATTCTTGGTACAGAAATCCTTGGCAGAATTCTAGATTTCCATTTAGTTTGTAAAATCTTTTGAATTCTAACAAAATGATATCAATTTTTCTCCTATGAATATAGGCTTTTTATTTTAGAGAAAAATTCTTGTCTGGATTTATTTTGCTACTCTATTCTGGGTTTATTTAACCAAGTATTTGTAGAAAATAAGTAAACTATTATACTAGTTGCTATTTATATGATTAAGTCACCACACAGCACTAAATACCTCCTAAAGAAAAAAAACCAGCCTGGGATTTAAGCCAGAATGACAGCAGTACATAAAAACAGAGAGCTTCTAGAGATGCCTAGCATTTTCTTCAGTTTGAAGAATTCTATTTCAGGATTTTTTTTGTTTCTCAAGGATAGTTTACTATTATTCCTATTTCTTAGTTTAGTAGAAATGTAAAAATTCTCTTCATCTATCCTTCAAGTATATAAGAGAAGGACACTAGTTGGCACAAACTATTTTTATGTTGACAGCCAGAGCTATTTTGAGCCTACTCAATTTTAATATTTTGATAGTACCCAATACTGATGCCAAGAAAAAATGGTTAGCATGACTAGCAAGCTAAAAAGTAAATTTTCAGTTTTTAGTCACTAAATAAGCACATTACTTTTGAACAACCCCACGGGATATTTTCTGGTCATAAATAGTAATACAATTCAAAACATAAACCATTAAACCATAAATAGAAAATCCTACCTTTTGCGCATCTCCTGTAAAATATGCAATGGTCAGGGTGGGCAGAATCATGAACAGTGCATTGTAATAGAGGAGGCCATATTTTCCCAGCTCCTAGGATAGAAAAAAAAAAAATTAGGTGTTTCATTTGGTTCTAACACACAGATATATACTACCCTATACAGAGTACTACCCCCATTACACACATACACACACATGCACCCCTCCCCACTATATACACAGCAAACTAGTTAAGTCAGAAATTTTGCAAACATTAAGAAATAACCTAAGCTTTCTAGAGAAAAAAAAAGTAAACTTATAAGATTTTTAATTTATTTGAAATAAATTCCTTGAAGTCTTAAAATCAGAGAAATAAAAATGATATCCACTGGCTTCCTCACAGCAAGTACGAAGAGGTTATTTTGAACACATATACACATCTTTATAGAAACATATCCCTGAAGCCCTTCCTTTTCCCCAATTGAGTAAAAAATCATCAAGTTAGTCTTGGGCTTTTCTGAACCATTACTGAGTGCCATTTAACAGAGATGGAGGGACAGACCCAGACATACGGACTCAGACAGACGTAACTTCCCAGCCAAGTATTTCTGAAAATGTGTATCTGAAGAACAATGAAGATTAAGATTACTATATCTACAGCTCCCAAAATATGGTATAACTATTGTTCCCTCAACTTTGGGGAGCAATGAAGGACTAATCCCATCTTCAAACACAGAGAGCCAGTGAGAACTCTGGGTCTACTTAGGATTCACACACTTCTAGGACATTCAGCAGGAAGCAGAGTCACCTGAAATTGCAGGTGGGAGATGAAGGAGTAGTGAGGAGAGGTGCCCAGTATCTGCCTAACTGCTATGAATGAAAGACCACTGAATAATGTGAAAGTCAAACTTCCTTCTCAAAAGCAGCTTTGGAAAACTGGAAACAAATATCCAACAACAGAAAACTGGTTGACTAGAGTATGATACAACCACACAATGAAATATTATGCAGCCACTAAAAAATGTTTAACAATACATGTTGACAAGGAAAGGTGTTCATGGAACAGTACTAAATGAAAAACACAGGTTAGAAAAAATTAAATATCATTGTTTTGTTTAAAATTTTACATAGTTAAGTGTTTACATGTACATGTGCACATACACACACACCCACACACCCACACACAACCAACAGTGCTTCTCACTTTATTGCAGAATTAAGAGAGATTTAGTATTTTCTTCCTCTTATGTTTTCTACTATTTATCTTATAAATACGTATTATTTGTGTGATTTCTTTGAAGTTCAAAGTGTTTTAAATTCAATAGTTGCACTCAGTCTGAAATGCAACACTAAGTCTTTATGTCATATGACTTATGCACAAAAAGACCATGATTATAAGCAGTCCTGAAATTATAAACTCCTGACTTATGACAAGCATCTCAGTGTGGCTGTACCACCTCTCAGGTAAACCAAATAACTGATTGCTTATGGCCATTGCAAGCATCAATGAACAGGTGTACCTCATTTTTAAGGCAACAAGAAAAAAGCCATAGCAGGACAAAACAACCTTTAACTAAAGTGCCCTGTCAGCCAGACATGAGTGCTATCCAGGAAGCAGACTGCCCCCACACACAGACAGACAGACAGACACACACACACACACACACACACACACACACACTCACACGTGCACTCCATCCAGACAACTGACAAATCTCAAGAACTTAAATGCGAAAGTTTTCTGTTGTTCTTTTCATATTCTAACTGTTTGGATACCTTTTTCCTTGACTTCTTTAACAGAATACATTGACTAACACTTAATCTAGGGCACCATCATAAACATGTATGGTTGTATTATGTTCTCATATGTTGCCCTTAATGCTGTTTAATAGCCCTTGAATCATTTTTGAGTACCTTCATTTAACTTCTAGTTTCCCTGTTTATAGTTTCTCTTGTTAACTGACCTTTTATATGGCTGGTAAGCCTCCCTGCCTCAAAATAGAAATCCACCTTCTAGTTTGTTGCCCCTAATCCATGAAATATGAAAAGAAGATCAATATGCTCAAAAGTTCTACTTGAAGTAAGTCATAAGTCATTTCTGAGTGAGGAATTAAAGGGCTTTCCTGGGGATAAAATTGTCAGAAACCCTCGTTGCTTTTTTCTAGGTTCTAGGATATACTCTAGACATACTGTCTCATATAGCAGCCGCTAGCCATATGCAGCTCTTTCAATTTAACTACAATTACATTAAAATATTAATTCATCCTCAGCTGTGCCAGTCACTTGTCAAGTGCTCAACAGTCACATGTGGCTAGTGGCTACCATTAATGGACAACAGAGATATAGAAGATTTCTATCAGCACAGAACATTCTATTGGACAGCACTGTTTTAGACAGCTGAGGCTACTGGATAAATAAAACATTATTATTAATATCTATTTCCCAAAACAGCAAATGGGCTAAACTAAAGGAAAAAAACAGAGTAAAACTAAATCAATAACTTCTCCCTTTGCTCTAGTTTTTTCAAAACAATGAAATTTTAATAGTAGTAGTTTATATTAAAATGTAACCCTCATACAGAGTCATCAAGGCAAATAAATGGAGAATGAGACATAAAAGGTACATTTAAAGAAGTCTGTTGGAAGTAGATTTACACTGTTCCTATTTCTTCAAAGATATTCAAAATAAATACGCTCTGAGAATAAAAAAAGCTACTGGGATGCCCATGCCTTCATTCTATGGATCCTTCGGGAGAAGGCCAAGTCCCCTACCAAGATGATACAAACTTGATGCTAATACTGCTACCGAGCACGTAGGACATTTGAATTTATGATCTGAACCCCACAAAAGGCCTAAAGTAGTTTCAGAAATACTGTACATACAATAGACTAAAAACTAAACAAAGTTATCTGACTGAAGAGAAAACATGAGTAGGAAAATAAGATAAAGCCACAGTCGATTACAAGATTCAATATAAGATAAAAATACACCAGCTGCTCAGGAAAAACTATGTTAAATATCTCATGTGGGTCCTCATATAGGACACATTATGACAGAAAGGATAACTTCAGTAACAACTCTATGATACAGAAAGCTGAGTTCCATATGGCTTCCTACAATACTGTTACCTTGTATCATTGTGTAGTAAAGGCAATGTGGCTCAAATACGCAGATTTCTGATGGTCTGACTTGATCTAAAGGTGAAACTTGGTATGTCTATATTCAAAGTATACAGTAGACAAAAAAAATATCTTTAAAGCCTTTGTGTGTGTGCTGCAAGTTGAAGAAAAAGGACTGGTAACACAAAGCTCACGTCCATGAGATTCAGGCCAGGGAACTCGGTGTTGCCCCTAAGAGAGGGAGATCTTAATGCTCCATAAAGTTTTCCATTATTTGTAGCACAAATATGCAAGGTCCACCCTTGTTCCATAGCCCCTTCCAACACACACATCTTTTCAAATGTGCTCAAGAGCTTCCAGATACTTCCTTCTTGTCTAGGTCCCTCACACAGTCCTTTAGAAAACAGCTATGAACACTGTGACACTTACTTACATCTTTAACCCAAAGTCCAAATTCACCCAATCCCTTCCAGAAAACCCAACAATAAAATCCATTTGCTAATTAATAATTGAAAAATAAAAGCTCCTTATGTGAGCACCAAAGTACAGGCATTTTACCTTCAAGGATTACCTACGTCTTTCCCATCCTTCCTAAGCATTTTTCTTTTTTCCTCACTTTTTTGCTCCAATGAATTGACATAACCATTCCCAACACTGGCAAACATCTCTTAAGGAAGCTTTAGATGGCTACTCACTTTTGAATCTAATTTTTGTTTTACGTATGCACCATTTGCTGCTGTCAGGACATCATTTATCAGAATAAAAACATATCCTTCCAGATCAAATGCCAAGTCAGAGCTGCAAAACATATGCAACAACTTTGTTTAAAAAACATTCACTTAATTTTAAATAGGTCTGAACTACAATATCTGAAGGAACATACTCTTATCTAGGTAACTGAACACTAGGCATGTGCTGCTAGTATTTCTTGATTCCTGGTTACACTTTGCAATTTCATACTCCATAAGGGAGTCTTCAGAAATGAGAAGCACTAACACTTAAAACAAAATCATTAGCAAAAATCAATCACGTCAGTTAATAGCACATTGATCTAAATTCAAAGTCAAACAACGACAATCAACCAAATTTACCTTTACAATACATCTGAAACAAGAAAAAGGCATCAGAGTTCAATTTCACAGATCAGGAAACCAAAAGGATGAAGTTGTAAATATGTCATATTCCAAAGGTTCACACAAAAGGTAGGACTATCTTGCATCGGGGGTTGGGCCAGTGGGTTTTCTGCAGGGTGGATTGTGGTTAGTTCTGAGATCAAGCTACAACTGTCTGAACACAAAGCAGGAACTCAAATACTTAATAATTGCTTCATCAGCCTAGGAGGTATAACTAGTGGAATTAGGGAAACAGAATTTTTCTAGTATTTAGAACACTAGGCACAAGAACTTAGTAAATTGAACAGAATTAATGAACATCTAAGAAAAGCATGCCTTCAGCATCCTTTAGCATACAGCATACATATGCCACCCAGCAAACTTTAACACCCCAGCTAAAACAGTAGTCCCACATTGTCATTTTGTAAAAATACTATATATATTTATAAATATATATGTGTGTGTATATATATGTATACTATGTAGCTAAACTGCCAAATGGAAAAGACCTGTGAGGAGCTCTATACCACTCCAACTTCAAGCAGAACTAGCCTAACGCATACCCTCTCTTCCAAGCAGCTTGACACCCAACCCTCTAACTTCAGATTCCTTTCCTCCCCATCTCTCTCCCAGGTAATTGGTCTTAACTGGACAAGGCTGGTCCAGGCAGCAATCCTCCTCAGAAACTTTTTGCAGGCCAGAGTCAGCCCCAAAGAACCCCTGCTGTTTGGTCCAATTTGATCCCACCAGCTTCAAGGAAATGCAACACTAGCAGGGCACCTCTAAAAACAAAGGCAGGAGGCTCATGTAGAATTTTTCTCCAAGGAGGCAATACTGTCTAGAGGGAAAAGTAATCAAGGATATGATGAAGATAAATGAGCCAATTCAAGAAGCTTCCTGGAACTCAAAGACAGCAAATATGGCAGGTGGAATTTGTGGCATTAGCAAACCCATGCATGCATACCCTGGGCTGAGTAAAATGTTATACAAAGCTTCTAGCCACAATTTTAATTTTCTGAGTCTTTAGGTGTACATTTTCTCCATTCATTTTAAAACTAAAATTTAAGGACAATGGAAAAGGCTTTAACAATTTAATAAAATATCTAGGTTATGGCATTTGCGATATACTTTTTTTTTTTTTGAGAGGGCATCTCTCATATTCATTGATCAAATGGTTGTTAACAACAATAAAATTCTGTATAGGGGACTCAATGCACAATCATTAATCAACCCCAAGCCTAATTCTCAACAGTCTCCAATCTTCTGAAGCATAACGAACAAGTTCTTACATGGTGAACAAATTCTTATATAGTGAATAAGTTCTTACATGGTGAACAGTATTTGTGATATATTTTAAGTGAAGCATACAAGACAGTTCTAATATCTATTACTTCACAAGGCAAATAATTCATTATCATATGCCTTTTCTGAAATCCTGTTTTCTTTAGCACTATGCACAGTAAAAGAATGCCACATGGTTTATAAAAGTACATAGGCTCTGGAGCCAGGGACAGAGTCAAACTCCAGCTCTGCTGTTTACTAGCTGTGTGGCCTTGATCAAGTTTTTGAACTTAGATTTCAGCTTCCTCAACTACAAAATAGGAAATTATACCTCTCAAGTTATTATAAAGAATGCATTAATAATATGTGTAAAATGCCAAACATATTGCATGGCACATGCTCAGTAAGAAGACAGTATAACAAATCCTAAATTATTCTAATTTAACTTCTAAGAATTCCAAAAATCTGATTTGGCCAGCCTTCATTTTAAGACAGCCATAAAGATTTAACTTTCTGAAGTCTTTTGGATGCTTTTCAAAAACACCATTTGTGTTTAGCCTATAAAAAATTAGCTTTACTTGGTAACTGATTGTTTATTATCAATAATTATTGGTAATTTTTAAATGCTTATAGGTTTTATGTAGGCCCACATCTTACCTGGCAGCTACAAAGGCTCCAATAATCATTGCAAATACAGTCATCTTAATACCCCAAGAAAAAGTCTTCCTACAAAATAAAATAAAGAATACATATATGTGGCTTTAGTTACTCACACTCACTTTATAACATAGACAAAAAAACCCTGTTTTCTTTAGAAAAACTATAATCACAATTTAAGTGTTTTCAAGGAATTGGATTCCCCTATGATGAAGCAAAAACTTATTTTGTTATGTAAATAAGTATACTGGGGTTACTTTTTATTCTTTTCATGTTATTATTACTATTGAGTTTGAATTTTTGAAACTCAGAATCTCTTTAAGTAGGAAAGGTCACACACATCTGTAGCAAAAGAAGCCAAGACATGACCACTATTTAAAACCAATACTGATGTTTCTGACTCAGTTTCACCCAGTGGCAGCAGTAGGCAAGGGAATTCTTGAAAGTATATCTATGTTCAGACAGTTTCTCAAATCCAGTTCATAACCTTCCCAACTATGGCTCCCATAAACTACCAATTCCTATGGCAAAGGGGAAAAGCTGTTTAAAAAAGATAAAGTAGAAGCAAGACTAATAACTTTAATATCTCACGTATGCTGGGCACCTTTTCAAGGTGACTGAAGTTTGTTAAAGACTAGATATATTAGAAATTTAGCTCACTTGAGCAAAACTCCTTCAGCAAACATTGTAAACAGGATGGAGAACCTTCTCAGAACTGTAAACATTGGCAAGCTGCAAAACAAAAGATAATCAAGTAAAATTTTTTTAAACTAAGAATCTCCAAATTAGTATTTTAAAATAAAGCTAATTCTTCTTTTGATTATGGAAATGCCATGCTGATTAATCTGTGACTAAATTAAATCCTTATTTCTCTCTAGCTATAATTCTTATTTCAAAGTCTGAAAGGGTTGTTTTTATAAAAGTACCTCAAGTGAGAAACATTAAACTAACAATAATGGTACAGATTATACACCTATCATCAAAGACTAATACAGCCATTTTTATTTTACCTTGCTTATTATGTAAACACCCTGAACGGTAACCATGTTAGTCTTTAAGAGAAAAAGACCTCCTTTTTCTCTCCTTTTGTTGCTAGACTGATCTCCCCTCCCAACTTACACGCCTCCAAACATCTCTGATTATCTTATCCCATGAAATATTCTTTGACTATCCTTTGGTGGAAGTAATATTTTCTTCCTCTAAATTCCCAGAGTATTTTGCTTGCACTAATCAAACATAAGCCTCTTGTATCATAATTATTTCTGAATACATCTTATCTTACTCCTTAGTGCCTTATGCGTACTTAGCTGGCAATCAAAGGCAGAGTGTGAGTGAATGGATAGATGGATGACAGTGAATGACAAAGAGCACTTTGCAGCAGGTCTGCATGTCTTTCCCAGTGGGTAATGAAATGGAAAAGCATGCTCCACCCATGATAAACTTGATTTCCTTGGAACCATCCCCCAAAATATCACTGTGGTCATTCAGTCAGGTTTCTTTGGTCTGAAGAAAGACGAAATGAAAAATGCTTTGTATTTGATTCTCAGAGATCTTCTCATTCTGGTTTACAACCATCCAGCATGCCAGGGGCATAGCTCATGTGGAAGTGGTGAAGCCATGGATGTTTGTTAAATGGTTTCCAAAATGTTTAATTTTAATATCACATACAACCAATATATACTATACTCCTTAAGTGGAGAAGCCAAGAATTGGGAAGTAAGAGGATAATAAGACATTATTGTCATGGAGTAGGCAGCTATTACTTCTTTCTAAAGGTGAATATGCTATCTCTACAGTTATATGGCCATAGGTAAAATAGCGATCACATTTGTCTTAGGGCTCCATCTGATATTATTTTAACTACCTCTTGACTAATGACAAACTACAAAAGTTCTCACACACACTCTCTATTCTTTGACAATCCTTTGGTGGAAGTAATATTTTCTTCCTCTAAATTCCCAGAGTATTTTGCTTGCACTAATCAAACATAAGCCTCTTGTATCATAATTATTTCTGAATACATCTTATCTTACTCCTTAGTGCCTTATGCGTACTTAGCTGGCAATCAAAGGCAGAGTGTGAGTGAATGGATAGATGGATGACAGTGAATGACAAAGAGCACTTTGCAGCAGGTCTGCATGTCTTTCCCAGTGGGTAATGAAATGGAAAAGCATGCTCCACCCATGATAAACTTGATTTCCTTGGAACCATCCCCCAAAATATCACTGTGGTCATTCAGTCAGGTTTCTTTGGTCTGAAGAAAGACGAAATGAAAAATGCTTTGTATTTGATTCTCAGAGATCTTCTCATTCTGGTTTACAACCATCCAGCATGCCAGGGGCATAGCTCATGTGGAAGTGGTGAAGCCATGGATGTTTGTTAAATGGTTTCCAAAATGTTTAATTTTAATATCACATACAACCAATATATACTATACTCCTTAAGTGGAGAAGCCAAGAATTGGGAAGTAAGAGGATAATAAGACATTATTGTCATGGAGTAGGCAGCTATTACTTCTTTCTAAAGGTGAATATGCTATCTCTACAGTTATATGGCCATAGGTAAAATAGCGATCACATTTGTCTTAGGGCTCCATCTGATATTATTTTAACTACCTCTTGACTAATGACAAACTACAAAAGTTCTCACACACACTCTCTGATTTTGCAAACAGAATTTGCCTAAAATATATTTACAAATTGTATTAAAGAATTGAAATCCCAGAAGCCTAGAATATATCCTTCACAACTAAAGGTCTGGAAAACAACGAGAACCTCCTATTCACAGCATTTCATAACATTTGAAAACTTTTATCATCAAAGTGAGAGGGAAAAAAAGCCCTAACAAAAAAAAAATCCTCTCTTTTTTCAAACTTGCAGAGCTTAAACCAAAACCTTTGATGTAATCTTCATTATTTAGTAGTAGAAGCTTTCTGGTCCCTTCATTTTTTCCAGAATCAATAACAGAGTGTTAACTGACATTCAAGTACAATTCTCAGAATACATTATATTAACCTCACGAGTAAAGTAAAGTTATCCATACTTAAGTTTCTTTGTGCTGAACAGTCCCGTGATTTGGTTCCCAAAATATAGCAGAGGTAGTGGAAACGTCTAGAATTAAAAAAGGGATAACAAAACTCAATAATAAAGACAGCTAAAACAAGATCCTTTCAAACAGTTTTTGTTTAAATGGTCAAGTATTTTCCACTTAAAACATAAATTAGTTCTCATACATAATTTTGGCCCCCAAGAAGAACCCAAACAACATTAATCCTGGTAAAACAGCACTACAACAGAAAAAAAAAAGAAAGGGAAGAACGAAGGAAAAAAAGAAACAGAAATATGAGTATGATCAAACCATATGGTACAGAAACATCATTTGCTTTAAAATATGGTGATACATTAGCCCATGGCTCTAATGTCAGAAAAAAAAAAGGCATTTCATCTTCATGTGGAGTCAAGCAGAGATAGAATGATAAGAAAGCAAACCCAAAGAATAATGAATGCAGCACACACTGGCCAGATTAGATGGATGTAGAAAATGCAAAACAGTTGTACTCCCAACAAGTGTCCATTAGTTAAAACAGAACACAAGATTTCCAGGGCTTTTTTGGTCTTAACTTTAAAGAGATTATGGAATGTATGTTACTTCATTTATTCTTTACCTTCATGACTGGACGATTGCAACAATGCAATTTTTAAATATGCAAGACACTGATGAAACATATAGACTTCTTTTCAGAAAAGAAAATATTTTACTTTATTTATTTATTTATTTTTACCTTTCGAGGTACATTTCTGTCAAGATCAGGAAACTTGACTACTCTGAGCGCCTTTCCTACCCAGAGAACTGCCACTGTGGCCACCATCTGTAAACAGAGAACACAGATTCACTGTTCTACACATAAAGACACACAGAGAAGTTCTAACGACATAAACCACGTAATGCTGAAGATTCCAACTAACCTGGCCAAGTCCAACACATAGTGAGGAGGGAAATCTACAAAAACAGTAGAGGAAAAAAAAGGGTCAGAAACCCAAACGGAGCTCTGTGTAAACAATTTGCACATCTGCGCCTTAAAATGCATTTTGATACAAAACACACCAACGCCTGCCTCTTATCCAAATAAGAATCGGTGAGAAAGATCCCTGCTGGTTGTCAGGCAACACCTATGATTTTGTAGCCTTGGGCAGTCACTTGTCTCGTCTTGTTTGCTTCTACAATGTAAGCCGGCTGCCTGCAACGGATTTCTCAAGGAAGTGAAGACACAGGTTCCTTCAACGGTTTCCCACCTTTAAAACAAAAATGCCTCTGCCTCAGAAGCCCAGTCAGAATCGTCTTAAACCGGCGTGAGGATGCGCACGTCTCCAAGAGCTGTCAGCGAACTCCGAGCACCCTGAAGCCCTGGCCCAGGCTGCGGAGAAGGGAGGGCATGCCTCGTTCAGCTTCCCGCCTGGCCTGCACGGGGGCTAAAAGTCATGGAGCAACTTTGCTCCATCGCTCCGAAGGTTAGGGTTTCCAGGGCGCTGCACGCCGGCCCCTGCAGGCGCTTTCCGATCGCCGCCCGATGGGGCGCCAAGAGTTTCGGAGCTCCGCGCCAGGAGCCAGATGCCAGCGCCCGGCCGGCTCTGCAGCCCGGCCGCCTACCAGCCGCCCGCCCTCCCCAGCTCCCGCCTAACTTTGTTCAGCTTGAACTTTGGCAGCTCAAGTCCAGGGACCGGCGCCCGCCGCCGCCGCCCGCTGCTCCGCGGCCTCCGCGCCGCCGCCCCGGCCCTACCTGTAATTGGTGAGCACGCTCTTGTTGACCACCACGATCAGGAAGGAGCTCACGCCGTAGAAGCCGGCCGCCAGCAGCTTCAGGAACACGGTCAGCGTTTCGGCCGACGCCATCCCCAGCTCCTCCTCATGTCTGTGTGTGGAGGATTTCGCGGGGGCTTCTCCTTTAACCCGGGCATGCTGACGTCTATGAACTTCCGCCATGGCTGCGGCGGCGGGCGGGCCTGGCGGCGGGGACCGGCGGCGAGGGGGCCTGCGGCGGCAGCTCCCGGGGGCGCTGGAGGAGCCGGGGTCGGCGGACTGTTCGGGCTGCGCGCTCTCCGCCCGGGCTCCCTGCGAGGCTGCTGCCCGTCCCCGCCCAGGGGCAGGAACGCCGCGGTTCACACCCCCAGGGAATTTGCTCGGGCATTGTGCAACGCCGGGTCAGAGGGCAGGGGCCGCGCCCGTCTTGGCCTGGGCTGGGCTGGGAGCGAGCCTGGGGAAGGGACAGCGGTGGGCCTGAGTCCGGGGCGAGAGGGAGAGGCGGTCGAGAGGCAACCACTCGGGCACACCGGAACGCCAGGCGGGCAGCGCTCTGCCCTGGGCCGAGGCCGCCGCCTTGCGCCTGCGCGAGCCTGCGCTGCGTGTCCGGGTGGCGGGGCGTTTAAGGTAGAGGAGGCTGGTAGCCGTACCTCCAGGTAACTGCGGGCCCCAAGTACAGACCCTCCTCCACCCGTTAACGGGGGGCGCGTCGAGACTCATTTTGAATCTTTCTTTGGTCTCTCTCGCGGAGGGCCAGAGCCCTTCAAGAGTATCAGGTGTGCATCAAAAGTAAACACTCAGATTACATTTCACCCTTCATTGCCTCAGGCTTAACATTTTCTGAACCCAGAGAACACCCAACAATTCTTTCTTTGCAGAGAATTTTTTTTTTAGAAAAATATTTACATATCCAAAAGAAGTGGCAGCATAATCAAGCAGCTTGGGGACTGGTAAAAAGCCAAGGAGTTGGGAGCCCAGTCCCGGTTCTAGGATTCCTAGAAATGCCCCCTCACCAGCTGTGCGTTCCTGGACCAGACCAGTTGATCACTCTGAACCTGCTAGTCTTCATTACTATATAACATACGAGTCACTAGTACCAGTGTTAGCAAAGAAATGATGTCTGATTTTAATGTCAGGAAAAAGAACTGAATTATTCCATAAATATTTTGTCTATATTTTTAAATTTCTTTTTTCTCTATTTTGAAATTGTGGTAAAATATACAATAACAAAACCATTTTAACATATTTTTTATTGTGGTAAAATATAAAATTTATCCTTTTAACACTTTGAGTGTACAATTCAATAGCACTAAGTGCATTATATCACCACCTACCTATCTCCAGAACTTTTTCATCATCTCAAACTGAAATTAGGCAACCACTACACAATAACTGCCCTTTCCTCCCTGCCCCTAATTCTAATAACCCCTATTTTGTCTCTATGAATTTGACTATTCTAGGTACCTTATATAAGTGAACTCGTACAGTATTTGTCCTTTTGTGTCTGACTTATTTTACTTAGCATAATGCTTTCAAGGTTCAACCATATGTAGCATATCAGAATTTCCTTCCTTTTGAAGACTGGATAATATTCCATTACATGTGTATCTTTTGATCTGTATCTTTTGAGTTATTCTGGGAATACCAGTATTCTTTGTCCCTTAGGAAAAACTAGCACCCAGGATGAAGTTCTTAACATGGCCCAAAAGGACTTCAGTGATGTGTCTCCTGCCATATATATCCAGAGGCACTTCTCACATTTCCTTCTCAGAGCTGCTGCAAAACCAAACTATGCCCAGTGCCCTGAAGAGCAATGTGGGCTCCTGCTTCTGCGTCTTTACCCTTATTATTCCCTCCATCTGGGATACTCTTCTCTCCCTCCCTTCTCCTGTCTCCTGAAGAACTCCTACTTTTCCTTTAGTATTTAGGCAAACATTACCTCCTCTCTGGGAACCTTCCTTCACACTGCCTCTCTCTGCCCTTCATAGAATTGACATCTCTTCTTTGTGCCCCACCCCCAACCCCATTCTTTGCACATCCCTTTACAGAGGCTCTGGAATTACATGTTTACATGTCAGTCTGTTCACTAAACAGTGAGCTCTCAAAGACGGACAAGCAGGGATACCTAGCACAGTTTAGATGTTTTTGATGAATAAATCAGTGAGTGGTTTTAACAATGCGGAAAATGGACAAATTTCTTCCTTAATTGCTAGCAATAGAAGAAAATCACTAGAAAGTTAGTGAAAATTTAGTGAAAAATACTATATGAAAAAATTATTATAAAAATAATATCCCTCATAATGTAAGCAAACAAGTAAAAAAAAACTTGTATCATAAAATGTGTGTTCTTCTCTTCTTCTCCCACCCCTAACCCACTTTTCAAAGAAAGTAACTGCTAGGAGTCTGAAAGCTATGCCTAATGCCATTTTCTGTGCATATATGAATACATAATATGTACATATGCATATATACACACATATACAAATATTTACACACATATTTTTAAACATTTTTAACATACATGGAATAGAACCAAGTAAGAACACCAATTCTCAAGCCAGACACTGCCTCTGACACTAATTTCATGACCTTGGGAAAGTTAGTTGACATTACTGTGCTTCAGTTTCCTCATCTATAAAGTGTGGATAACAGCAGTATCTCAGAGGGTTGTGGTGAGAATTAAACGAGTTAATAAAGATAAAGATCATACATAGTACACATATTACAAGTATTTATAATAATAATTTTTGTAATTATGCAACCTTTCTTTTTTCACTTAATATTTATTAAAGGCCTTTCTATGGCAGTATAGAAATTCTACCTCATTCTTTTTAATGGCTGCACAAAATTCCCTTACCTAGATGCATCATAATTGATGTAACCTTTCCTGTGGACATTTAGGCCTTTGCAAGTTTTTCTGTGCAGCTTTGATTAACCTTGTCCATTCAACTTTACAAAGGTAAAAGTTTCTAGGAGTGGGTTTGCTTAATTAAAGGCTACTTTTTTTAAATTAGTAGAATTAATAAATTGATCTCCAAAGATATTTTACCAATTTCATATTCCCACTAACACCATATAAAAACCAAACTCTTTTTTATAAAGTCAGATGGTAACAATGGAGACCACTGAAAGAGTCCAGAGGAAGTATAAAATGTCTGGTGCACATTGCTGCAATAAATCAATCGCAATCACAAAAAATGAAATGACAATCTCCTGAAAGTACTGATCCAAGCAACTACTGTTGTTTTTCTCTGCATGATTATGTTTTTATTAGCAAGTATTTCTTATGTCCTACCATAGACAGACCAAGGACTATGTTGGATTTTCTCAGTACCAGGAATGATTTCTGGACCTTCAGTAAAGTGCTGAGAAGTCAGTATATAAAGGAGTCAAGCATTCTCATTAGGTGCCCATAAAGATAAGATAGGTGTTCACACACTGGTAGCATTTTTATTATAGGTATTTAGACCTTGGTACTTTTAAGTATTTTAGATACTCAGAACTGTTTCCTAACCGCAGTAATATTAATCACAGTTATATATGGGGAATTCATTATTTGATAAATTTGACCATATCTAAAAAAGCACAAGACTGGAAAGACTGGGTTTAAATGTTCTCATTGATATACGAGTCTACTCTATTTAGAAATGTCAACATTGTAGGTTAATAAGTTTTATATTTTTCTAGGTAGAATTACTAGCAGAAAAACCTTTGTGATTAAACCATGTCTATTCTTCAAAATATTGCTTTATCTCCAGTATTTCCCCATGAGGGAAATTTGATTCTGTATACTATTTATTAACATGACTCATCTAATTTCTTTTCCATATACTTTTCCCTTTCTCCTGACACACTAGATTTTCTTATATTGAAATTTATGTAGTCCTTTTTTGGTGTCCACCTCCATTCACTAATTTCTTATTTCACTGTCTGCCTAGATCACCCTGCTGACCTGCTGTGCTGTACCACTGATTATTTTATAGCCAAGGGGCAAAGGTCATGAGTCTTTCCTATTTGAATATTGCTTTTAAAATTCTGAGAAAATAAAGCTTGAAAGGAGCATAGAGTTTCTCTGCAGTGCCTCATACTTCTCTATGTTGGGCTGGAAGGAATGACTTTATTGACCACTGATGATACATCTGGCAATGTGTTAACTATTATAATTCATTATCTCATTTTATCCTTACCACTCTAGAAAGTGGGTATGGTAAAACAACTTATAAACAGGAAAACAATGTCTTAAATGGAGTCTTAGGCATGCTCTGAGTCCCACAACTCTAAGTGGCTATGTAGACAAGGCCCCACCCAGTATGTTCAGCACTTAGTTTGTACTCTTCCACTAGATAATCCTGCCTCATTTGGGATAGGGGAACATACTTGCTTTAAGAAGAAGTTCTAGTGATGGCATCTCCTTCTTTAATTACCACATTTAGTATTTATTAACCCTATTAAGAAGAATAACCGGAATAAAAGAACAATATGCTATTAAAGTCATAGTTAATCATGACCCATTCATAAATACCATACCAGACATCAAATTAAGCATTGAAAAGACAAAGGCATTTCAAACTTAATATGTTTACAACTCAACTTTATACAAATCCATCCTAATCATCTGCTTTAAACCTCCTGTCTCACTACCCGCCTGTTGACCATACCTCTGCCCTCCCTCTAACAACCCAAATCACTCTTCAACCCACACTAAACTAGTTTTACCCCTTCCACTACCCTAAAGAGTCACCAGTGACCTCTATGGAAGTAAATCCAGCAGATACTCTCAGTCTTCTCCGTAGACCACTGCTAATTGTCTCCTCTCCTTTAGCTACACTTTCTTTCCTTGACTTCTGGAATGCTACACTCTCTGAAACTCCTCCTTGTTCTTTGGATGCTCCTCTCATTTTGCTTTGCTGGTTCCTCCTATTCTACTAGGTCTTTAAAGTTTCACATTCTTCCAGGCTTGGTCTTGGTCTTCTCTTTTCAGTCTGTATATGCTTGCTAAATAATCTCATCTTATTCCACAGCTTCAATTAAGATTTATTATTTTGGGATTCCTTCATCTACATTATGGTGGGAGAAGTTCTTGTCTAGTCTTATTAAACAGAGGTCACTATTGAGCCCAAGTCTCAAGCAACCAACAAATTAAGCAGAATATTCCCACCTGCATGAGCTAACACATTAAATCAAGAACCTCTGGTAAGTGTACTCATGCCAATACATTTGGCCCATGCCAGTGTTATGTCCTATCTTTCTTAAAATCCATTCCTATATATATTCCCCTGGTTTATATTGATGTAAAATTATAATCTTGCATTTTTTTTAAATTTATAAGCTTCTTCCTCCTGTGCAGGCTTTGTACTTGTTCTCCTGGACCATGCTGATATCTGACCCTAGTTTGTGATAATGTACAGTTTTC